TGTGATGCCTGCTGTTTGTTATTGTTCTAGGTTGTTTTTTTGTTTGTTTGTTTTTTGTTTTTTTTTCTCAATAAGAGACATTTAAAAAACATGTTTCCTCTGACAAACTGGAGAAGTTAATCAGCAAACACATGTTAATAGATGAGCTTTGCTGTATGGGATAAACGTTGTTAAGATAGAAGAATCCTCAAGATTCCATGGCTCATAGAGCAGTGCATAAACCTAGGGGTTCAGAAGAGATTTCCTAGAGACTCAGTTCCATGGAGTAAGTAAAAATGAAGGGAAAATGAATTACATGACTGTTTTAGGCTGAAAATAAAATGGTAAATATGAAACCAGGAAAGCAGAAAATTTCCTTGGTGGGACCAGCAGTTAGCGCAATGGCTATGTCGCTGAACTTCCATGTAGCCGACCGTGGTTCGAGTCCTGGACCCGGTGGCTTAAACTCACGCCAGGCGCGTGTGTGTGTGCCCAAGATCCCGAGAGGAGAATGGAGGAAAAGGGATTGCAGCGTGGACATCCCCCCCTGGGGGGGGGGGGGATTTCTCGCTTTCTATCTCTCTCTCTGTCTTTCTGGCGAGCACATGTACCCTATAGCAAAAACCTCTCAAAAAAAAAAAAAGAAGAAAACTTCCTTGGTATGTTGACTTCTCAAGATTCTCTTGCTCTCTCTCCAGGAAGGACATTGTTGTTATTGTTGGTATAGCTAACATGAATCCCACTAGGATCACCCACACAGAGTATCCAGTCAGTACCATCATCATCCACGAGGACTTCGATAACAAGTCAATGGGCAATAACATAGCTCTCCTGAAGACAGACACGGCAATATATTTCAACGACCTGGTCCAGTCCATTTGCTTCCTTGGTAGAAAGCTGCAGATGCCACCAGCCTTGTGGAATTGCTGGGTGTCAGGATGGAATCCCACATCTGCAGTTAAGGCATTCCTTCTCCGAGAGAAGGCTACGTGTGTGTTAATGGGGGGAGGAGGTGATAGACTTGGATGAATTGTTCTAGAACTTAATTTAATCATTGAGGTCACTCAATGTTCTAGAGTTGGACTGGAACCATCACCTGATCATTAAGACTCCTTGTGCTTGCTCTTTCTAAAGATTCTTACATTAACATTGGTAAATTTAAAAGTTCTTGAGCAGTGCATTACAACTATGTGATGGAACTGGCTTCAATGATGCTATTTTTTCCCTCAAGCCCTGCACTAAAACTAGATGTACAGAGGCAGTAGACAGTGTGAAATGAGTACAAGGTTAGGGAGGGGTGAGAGGACTTCATTCCTGATTAAGAACTAACTGTCCTCTTGTCTATGCCATCCTTGTTTTCTTTCATTCTTGGGAAGGAAACAAGGAGATATGGATACTTTATAAAAGTGGAAAAAGGGTGAATTGTTCTCTGCATGTTTAAACATCCAAATTCAAAGCAGAGGTAGTTTTCAGGCTCTGAACACAGGTTCTGATTTTTGTGAAGGAAAGGGATGTATGGGGGACATTTTCTACTCATTCCTGTTTGGCTATGTGAGTTGTAGTTGTGTTGATATAGGGGACCATCTTCTTGTTAATAACTCTTGGGCTCTTCGTTGCATGGTCCAGACAGGAAATCACATGACGATGAGTGTGCTGAGGAAAATGTCCGTGAAAGACATCAGCCTGTGCCCCCTACGCAAACTCTGGAAAACAGGATGTGGCAGTCACACAAAGGAGGAAACCAAGTCCATCTGCTTGGTAAGAACATGATGGAGCGTGTGTTGATCACATCAAGGGGATCCTTGGGCTTCTCCATCTCTGGGTGGGGCACATCGTGAGGGTTGGGACAATGGTGTGGCACATAGCAAGTGCTCAATAAAAATCTGCTGAATGGATTATCCAGTCACCATTTTTTTTTAAGAGAGGTTTTTTGCTATAGGATGCATGTGCTCACCAGAAAGACAGAGAGATAGAAAGTGAGAAATCACCTCCCAGAGGGGATGGCCACCCCTTCTCCATTCTCCTCTTGGGATCTTGAGCATACACACACACACACACCTGGTATGAGTTTAAGCTGCCAAGTCCAAAATTCGAACTGTGATCAGCTACATAGGAGTCCAGCGACATAACCATTACGCTATCTGCTGATCCCTGGTCACCATTTTAAATGTATCATGATTAAGATGTATACATCACAGATGATGTCTAACTAACTAAAAAATTTAAAGTGTGAGTCCAAATGCAGCTATACTTCAAGCAGGTCCACAGCATGGGGTCAATGTATTCAGGCCTATGGAACCTAGGTGCTTCTCTGTTGCAAATTTTTATTAGTAATTGGGCTTTTCTTCTATAAAAAACCCTTCCTTCCATACAGATGAGGATGGTACAGATGTGGCTATCCTACTGGCTCAGGAAAATGTATGGAATTCATAAACATCTGTTTTGGGCTCCCTCATGCCCAAACCCAGAGAAAGCGTGGTTTACCAGGGTCACACAATCAATAGTTAGAGTGAAGATGAGAAGCCAGGTCTACCAGATATCCAGGTAGAGCTTTCTTTCTCCACAATTGATATTTTAAGATGCTGATTCCCTACTGTCTTCTAAATAGCCTTCAATACTCCCTGATGAAGTTTCCCACCCCCCCCTATAATATCTAGAAGAGCAGGTTTTTTAGAAAAACAAAGACATATATACAGACGATTCTCTCTGAAAGTCATTTTATTATGAAAACTTGAAAGACTGTCTGTTATTAAGTTTGCCTTTTGATGTTGGTTCAATATTTATTGAACCAACAGGTAGAGTACGACCCTAACATCTTAAATTAGACAATGAGTTAAAACTGAGTAGAAGACATAAATATTTAATAATATCCTGCCATCAACCATCCCATCAACACAGTATCATACTTAATCAGATCTAACATATTACCAATTGCAGATTGCACCATTATTTTCTGTAATATCAAGAAAGAAAAAAATGCTGTTAGTTAAATTCTGACATCGACTGGTTAAAAGACATGAACTGATTTCAAAGATGCTAATTGAAAAAAATTACTTCTCTTTATTCACTATAGAGCATGTACACGAATGAACACATGTATGAATGTGTGTGTGTGTGTGTGTGTGTGTGTGTGTGTGTGTGTGTGTGTGTGTGTGTGTGAGAGAGAGAAA